TTGTGTCACCCAACATGGCGGCCATGTCTTTTGTCCTTGTGCATGTGACGTCAGAGCCGGCATGTTGGTTAACTTGAAAAAAATAATTGGTCTTGGTTTCTTTTGTTGTGTCACCCAACATGGCGGCCATGTCTTTTGTCCTTGTGCATGTGACGTCAGAGCCGCCATGTTGGTTGACTTGAACAAAACAATTGGTCTCGTTTCTTTTGTTATGTCAACCAACATGGCGGCCATGTCCTTGTGCATGTGACGTCATAGCCGCCAGGTTGTTTCACGTAACTAAAATAATTGATCTTGGTTTCTTTTGTCATGTTAACAACATGGCGGTCACGTGAAGACCACATAGAGTGAAAATCTCTGTATATTGTTTTACCTAAACTTGGATCAGATTTAGATGTAGTCATACTTGTTGGACACACTTATTTCAATAAAGTTAGTCACCTGAAAAGCTATAAAGCTGAGGCCGACAAGGATTATGGGTAGATTCATTTAACACGTTCAGCCGCTTGATAACTGTTCATAGGCTTGCGAATCTTTTACCGGTTACAGTCTCACCTCTTCTGAGCATCATGGAGCTGCAGTTTGTATTAAAAAAGCTTTGTATATATATATATATACTTTTTTGATATGAAAAGTTTCCCATGATGCTCAATGATCTCAGCTTTCCTGGTTTTTGGTGACTAACTTTATTGAAATAAGTGTATGCAAAAGGTGGTAATACGGGCAGAAATCCAGAAACGTATGACAATAGTAATGAGAGGAAACCAGGTATTTTAGGATGCATACTTACTTTGGTTCATTGTGCGCATTTCCAACTTTTTTTTTGGTAAATTTTTAATGGTGTTTGCAGGACACGCATCGAGAGCACCAACTTCGGGATCTCAAACAGGAGACGCACTCGGCAAAGCCCTTGCATCTGTAAGTAATCTGCTCAAATGTTATTCTGGCTGATATGTTATTTGAATTCCTCTTCATTCCTTCATCTTCTATATCGGTAGGGTCTTTTATTGCATCTTCGTTTCTTTCGAATTTCAATACTTTCTCCACCCTACCCCTCTGTTGATTAAGCTGTGTTCAAATCCTTCGTCCTTCCTTTCTGTATTTGTACGTTATTTGATGATGGTTCTTTTTCTGTTTAGATATACTCCACAGACAATGGAACAACATACTCGTCAAATCCATCCACTCCAGTAGGCTCACCTCCACCTTTAGCTAGTGTATCAGAACGACCACCTTCAGGTAATTGAGGATGATGTCGGATGGGGGTGATGATGTTGTTGATGATAATGATGGGTGTAATTATCGATGATGATGATGCTAGATAGTGGCAGTGATGATAATGTTTATGGTAGTGATGGGTGCACGTGATGATGATGTTAATGGTAGTGATGGGTGCAAGTGATGATGATGGTGGTGGTGATGATGGTTAGAAGTGATAGTGATGGTGGTGATGATGTTGATGTTGATCGGTTGTAGTGACGGTGATGATCGGATAATAATAATCTTCATCATGATGTGGTAATGGTTATATTTATTCATGATAGCTGGATCAGGAGCATCTGGTCATTCATCTGGTTGGGGTCGTTCAAATCAACCGACATCACCTCCCTATGAGAGCCAATTACATCCTCTGGTAAGTCCTATCCTTTTTCCAACATTCCACTATTGAGTAGGTCCTTAGTGACCTCACACACTTGTTTCAAGGAGTAAGTGTGGCTTGGTTGGTTAGTGAGCTGCCTGCTAAGTAAGAAATCCATAGTTTGATCCTCAGTTACCTCACACACTTTGTTTTGAGGAGCACGTGTGACTCCCTGCTAAGCAAGAGAGGTCCATTTGATCCTCGATGACCTCACACACTTTGTTTGTGGCTTGGTTGGTTAGTGTGCTGCCTGCTAAGCAAGAGGTCCATTGTTTAACCTCGCACACTTGTTTCAAGGAGCAAGTGTGGCTTGGTTGGATACCTACCTAAAGCCCATTGATGTTGACGTAATCTTTTTTGGCTTCGTATATTCTGACATATTTCACTTTCAACAGAGAGAAGCAAGGAGCACAGCAAACCCAATAGAATTACAGAACATGCAACAGTATATACAACCAAAGGTATTCCCAAATACAGCGTATAATACTTTGTATTCATATTCCTGTTCTCCATTTCTAAGGCACGTTTTTGTGACTAAGCAAGCGGGTATTGCAACAGTATTGTCACTAACCGCTATATAGACCCCTTGCAGCACTTTGGAATGCAGCTCAATCTGGGGGACAAAGCAATAGGCTCCAATTCCCAGCAGATTGGAATTCTTTTTGTTTGGTCTCCCAGATGGAACTGCTTTGATGTCACATGCATGGGGTCCATACTCTTGAAAAATGGAGCATTAATGGATGGATTGGATAAGGTGCCTACCTACACTCGAAGTAGAAACTTGACGGGAAAAGGGACAGTCGACGTCAATTATATTTCTGTATATTTGTTTGATATACCATAAAAGAATCACTTTCAGAGTTGTTCAAGGCAGACTTTATAAATAACTGACAAAATGCTAGCCATTTCAGGTTCATATTGAACGCTTTTAACAATCCAGTAGTGTTCAAACTGATAGCGACCTTTTTGGGCTGAATTTGGGGACAATATCGTGGAGCTTTTCTATCTTGTCCCCGAATAGACCCTATTCGTGTTCCAAATTACCGCTGTGTTTCTTGATTACAGACTCATTTACTCAGGCTTAGCCTCGATTTTGTGCAGAATGTTCACGTGTTCCAGTCAAGGTCCGTCAAGTTTCAAAGTGCTCGTATTGTTGAAGTTGTGCATTCTTTACTTTACCGTTGGTATTTGCGAGTAATTAGACACTGATTCGAGGCTAAGTCTGAGTAAATAAGTCTGTAATCAAGAAACACAGCGGTAATTTGGAACTCGAAACTGGACTATTCAGCCCCACAATTATAGGCACCTACTCGTGGTTAACTCTACATAATTTGCATTATAGCAAAGCCGCATCGAAGAACGTCTTGATGATGCGATTCATGTGCTGCGCAATCACGCCGAAGCCAACGTCCCCCTACGTGAGATGTACGCTAGCGTTGCCAGTGCTGGAATGAGTGTAGCAACTACGAGTGTGTCAGCGGCTGGGTACTCGACTGGAGATAATATGCATTCCTCACATCTAGATCAACTTGTAAGTGAAAACAATCTACCAGAAAAGGAGACATATCATTCCCTTTTTAATTCTTGACAAAGACCATGCAAAAGGAACGCTTCCTTTCTTGTCTCCCTTCTTCCCTTCATTATGATCCTTCCTTCCTTCCTTCCTTCCTTCCTTCCTTCCTCCCTCCCACCCACGCCTATAGTCCCTTTACTTCTTCCCTTCCTTATCATTATTGAATGCTTAAATGATCGATTGCTTCTCTCCCAGAATAACAACCACAGTGCGATGGACGAGGACCCAAATAGCATGACCTCTCCAGGGACAATATCTAATCGAGCGTTGTCCTCACAGATGTCGCCCGCTACTTCTGATATCAGCGAAACACGATGTAAGATTCCAAAACAATTGATATTGTGCAGCAGAATAGCCGCCATGTTTAAGAGATAATGAGAAAGTCTTTCATAGCTAAACATACAAGTGACAATTGTCACTCACACGGGTGGTGTGTGCTGCTAAGCCGCCGCATCTCAACAGTGTGTAATTGTGGGTACGTCCCACCCTTGCATGGACCCCAGGGGCGAAGCAAGGGGGAAAATCCTGACTATGCCAATCGATCCAATCAGATGTGAGTTGAGACCTGCTTTTTTTTGGTTCTCTCCTGTGTTTTACTGATCTATCTTGGGTACAATATATGATGATGACCCAAAACAGACCAGAATGCAGCGCAATCGCCGTTTTAGAAATAAGCTTTAATTCTATGATATATTGATCTCTCGTAGACGGAAATAAAACAGACGGTTCCGTAAGTGAATCGATCAAAAACGAGGACAAAATCGACAGCCTTGACAAAGATGGCGGCAGTCTAATGGGAGAAGATGGCGATAAAGGTGACGATTTTATCGAAGGGGATACAGACAGGGTAGTCCGCGAGCAAGAACGACGATACGCAAACAACGCCAGAGAAAGGTTTGTAGGTTTTGGGAGTCAAATTCGCTTCCGCGCGGCGGCCATTTTGAATCTCATTATTTTGGCAGACTTTGTTCTGCCTTAAGGCTTTTCTTAATCATGTTGTAAATAAAAATCATTTCAGTCTTTTTGAGGGGGATGTGGCAACTATTAAACATCGAAGATTTGCTAACAATGCTCGTGAACGGTGAGTGGTATCGTCGGTGTTGTCATACTTGCGTGGCGGCCATTTTGAATTGTGAATCGATCGTTCCCATCTATATGTAATGGCGTTTATCAAAACAAAATTAGCTCCAATTTAGATTGGGTTAGCGAAAATAGAGAGCGCTTTTTACTTAATCTCCAAAAATAACCACCAATTTGATGTTGGAAATTTTCGCGACATTTTCGGACGATTTCGGCCTAGGTTCGGAATCCTTTCGGGAATGCGATCTCGGAAGAATCTAAACCAAAACTTGACAAACATAGAGGAGGAGGCTTTGCGATTGAAAGACAAACAGATATGACTATTAGGATATTGTGAGCGAACATTATTGGGTACCCTGTGTTTATTTTGAAGACAAAAACATTTGGAGTGTATTTTAAAATTAATGCAATGAATACCGGTTTTAATGATGACAGACTTATACAGGTTATACAGTTATACAGGTTTACCTTAGTTGTAAGTTTAGTTTTAGTTAGATGTAAATGGTAGATGGGAAAGCTACGTCTTTCTATTGGGAGTGGAGAGATTAGGATTCAAAATGGGGGGAGGGGGGACATCAGTAAAGATTTATACTTTACGGAGTGTCAAACGTTTTTTTTTTTACGAAAGCTTTTTCCTTGTTGGCTTAATAGAAGGGTCTTGAATTTCTTACTAAGTTCAAGAGGGAAGATTACAACCATTCATAACAAGTTTACTGCGACTTCCCTAGTCTCCCTCGCATCCGTTTTTAGTGTCGGTCGTCACGCAACGCTCCCGTTGCGTAACGACCGACACTAAAATCGGATGCGAGGGAGACTACGACTTCCCCAGCCCTACCGTCAGTAAAGACGTACCTTCCCATAGTAGTTGTAGTTGGCTTGCAGACCTATTAGATATAGAATGAGATTTGAATGAGGTGTAAAATCTGAATTCAGCCCGTCTTGACCGTGTCGTGCTGTAACTTTAGGACCTACACGGTGCAACCCATTTTAAATTAATATGAGAATCCCTCAGACCTTGATTACTAGAAGTGTTTTCACCCATAGTTGGCAAGTGTTTTCTGTCTTCTATTTCCTTTTCATATCTGTTTATCTCTTTTTCGTTCTCTCTTTCTCTCGCTTAAAATGGCCGTCGCGCGCCTGTGTCTTAGACCCGAATTRAAATTCTTCTCTTGCACATTAATATTCCTCAAAATTTCTACTCGATCCAGTGATTTCCTAGCCTCCTTTGCAGCCGTTCGTAGGGTCGTCACGCAACATGGGGAGGGAAACGTTGCGTGACGACCCTAAGAACGGCTGCAAAGGAGGCTAGTGGTTTCCAAGAGGAAGGCATTTGATCCAGACTATCGCATTTTCCTAACTGGCCAATCAATGAGAATAACCAAAATGGCTTTTAAGTGTGACGTCATTAGCATAAATTAGCGACTTCTGGGCACAGAACGAACGTCCCTTCACAAAAAATCAATCAGTGATTCAAAATTATGGTTGCTAAAGATTAAGCATGCATTGCATTTGTCTCGGAAAAATTCAGAGTTCCTTATGCCCGCCTTGGGAGAAACAATAGTTCCCTTCACAGTTCCCTGCGTCATCTTGAAAGGTAGCCGTGCCTTTGCATCGAAGCGAGACGAACGGTGAGCTTGCAATGATAAAGACCTTTTTTAACACCTTGGACAATTATTCACTAGGACCCTGTCATTGCAACATCACCGTTTGTATCGCTTCGATGCAAAGGCCCGGCTACCTTTCAAGATGACGCAGGGAACTGTGAAGGGGACTATTGCTCGAGTAACACATTCTCTATTTTTAAAATATATTCTCCTACCATACAATATGATTTTTGCTTGTAGACGATACATTTACGTCACAATTTTGGCGTTACTGTTGCAATACACATTTGCCGACTTCCCTTGAGTGGCCACGAGACATTGGCTTCAATTCGAGGTTGAATTTAATAAATACTGTATATATTACGAACACATCGAGTCTAACCTTGTTCCGTGGTCACTGAAGCGAGTTTAGGAAAGATCTATTGTCGTATCAAACTGGACCCGTAATTAACGTCACAACTTAAAAGCTTTTGGTGTGAGAAATGGCTCAACTAATGAACAGTGCCTGGCTTGATTTGATTTTAGGATGAGAGTACGTGATATCAACGAAGCGTTCAAAGAGCTTGGTCGAATGTGTCAAATGCATTTACAGAATTCAAAACCACAAACAAAGGTAAGGTAGACAACTGTTACTTGAATCACTCTGGTGATTCTGGTCAGCGGTTGTAGTCAAGTTGGTTGCAGTTGAGTCGGTTGCAGTTGAGTCGGTTGCAGTTGAGTCGGTTGCAGTTGAGTCGGTTGCAGTCGAGTCGGTTGCAGTTGAGTCGGTTGCAGTCGAGTCGGTTGCAGTCGAGTCGGTTGCAGTCGAGTCGGTTGCAGTCGAGTCGGTTGCAGTCGAGTCGGTTGCAGTNGAGTCGGTTGCAGTCGAGTCGGTTGCAGTCGAGTCGGTTGCAGTCGAGTCGGTTGCAGTCGAGTCGGTTGCAGTCGAGTCGGTTGCAGTTGAGTTGGTTACAGTTGAGTCGGTTGCAGTCGAGTCGGTTGCAGTCATGTCGGTTGCAGTCATGTCGGTTGCAGTCGAGTTGGTTGCAGTCGAGTCAGTTGCAGTCATGTCGGTTACAGTTGAGTCAGTTGCAGTCTTTGGGCTTCTTTTCTTTTCTTTTTTTGTGCGGAAATGAACAGCATAGAAACCATATTCTGTTATCTTCCTTATTTGTTTTACGAGGGTAGCACTTAATAGACCCTTTGCATTAAATTCCTAGAGGAATTGTTCTAGGGGACAAAACAATAGGCCCTCCTTTCTTATGCAAAGCAAAATCCATTGTTTTGTCCCCCAGGACAATTCCTCTCGGGACTCAGTGCAAGGGGTCTATAGCCAGTGCCTAACAAACCTTTGGCCCAGATTTCATGATTGGAGTTTGGAGGTTTATTTTAGCGGAGGGAGGAAAACCGGAGAACCCGGAGGAAACCCCTCGAGGCTCACGAGAGAACTAATTAGAAACTCTACACACACAGTTGTACGTTTGAGGGACGAAAGCCAAAACACTAGAACATGTCAGGGCAGGGTCTGCAGTTTTCTGGGTCGGGTTGGCAGCAAAAACGTGTTTTATGGTTATAATGTTGACTTAGTGAGGCAAGAATGCGAGATGGGATGGGATTTAGTGATTTAGTTACTCCCTTTATTGGCGTCATCCACAGCCTCCTCCCTTCCTCCCTTCGCCTCTCCCCCTCCCCCCTTACCGGGGAAGGTAGTTGTCTCTTTAAATGACTGTCAAAGTCGATTCAAAACTGTATTAAAATTGAATTTAACCTTTTTCTTTATCATAGTTTGGCTGTTTTCTTTCTTCTTTTCTTATGACCCTTTCACGGTTTGGCCGCCATTTTGAACTGTGGCCTGGCCTTCACTTGGAGTCGAGGCTGTTGATGACTTGGTTGACTGAGACCTTGATCACTCTGTAGTCATCAATGACCTCGCAACCAATGTAGAAGACTGGTGCCCAATATGAACTAGCCTTTGGCCTGGTTACATTTCAAGATGGCCGCCATTGCCCTACGAAGGGTCTTAAGGCCAATTTCTCATGTCAAAACTTGTTCTTAAAAGGAAAAGGAGCGTCCAAGTCAACCCAAACCCCGTCGGGAACCATCAACAAAGGAATGGTCTTTGTATGACGCCTCTAGCGGGAGTAACATTCCACAAACCAAGGTAACTACCGTAAGTGATTCCATGTTTCCCGCCAAAGATCTGAAGAAAAAATAAGAAACCAGTTTCTTGAAAAAAACATATCACATATTTTCTTGTTGATTTTTTAAAAAATTTATTGCTATTTTTAACTGTTTCAAGTACTGTTTGAAGCGGCCATTATGGGGTACCAAAACAATACATTTTCTATCCTCCGGGAATTGAATTTCAATCTCATGAGAATTGGAAACCATTTGTAATGTCATCCAAATAGACCTTCTTCGTTGTGTGACAATATGTTTCCAATAGTCCCCTTTACGGTGAGAGATGAACGGTGAGCTTGCAATGATAGAGACATGTGAATAATTGTCTAAGGTGTTAAAAAAAGGTCTCTATCATTGCAAGCTCACCGTTCGTCTCGCTTCGATACAAAGGCCCGGCTACCTTTCAAGATGGCGCAGGGAACCGTGAAGGGGACTATTGAACGTGACAAACCATTAGGGAAATGAACAGCTATTGTTTTGAAACTCGTCAGGATAACATCGTTATTCCTTTCGTATCCTTTGGGATACTAATGAATTTATCACGATTGGAATCGTCATCACGCGATAAAATAGATTTTAGTGGACGTCAATCAAAGTGTTTCCATGGCAATGTCTGGTAAAGAAACTCATTAAGGCACGTGCCTATAAAATGTTATGGAGATATTTTGATTGAGGCCCAGTTCTGTGCGGACACACTTAACCGGGACCACTTGAAAAAAGCAGTCACGTTATAGATTAAAAACAAAGGAATCAAAATAAGTCAAAGTTAAAGCAATCAGGAGAAAGCAATTGTGATTGGCTGGGGTCAATGGGATACTTATTTTTCTCTCTCCTCGATTGGCTAAAGGTCAATGGGATACTGATTTTGCTCTCTTCTGATTGGCTAAAGTTTTTTATTTATTTAAGTTTGTCCGCACTGTAAAAACTTACTTTGGTGTCAAACAATCACGTGCTGATAAATGACTTTGATAATGAATCAATTCAAAACATTGGAGAACCAAAAATATCTATCTTCAGTTCATTATTCGACTCGTGATGAAGAAGGTAAATCATCTAAATTACAGATACCTTCGAGCAGAAGTCGCTCTCTTATTTACTTTGAGGATGTCATTACTGATTTTTCATTTGAATATTGGTATATTGCATTAATCCGGTCCGTGCGTATAAAAGGAATGATTTCATTAATCGACTCTAGGGGTCAACGCGTGACCTTGTTTGACTGTAAGTGAGCTTATTCTATCCATTTCTTCATGCACTCCTTTGATATCGTTGTCATAAATCACAGAGACACCTTCCTCTTTTTTCAAATATGCAAAAGATATCCATCCTTACAATACCAGGTACGCAGCAAAGCAAAACTTGCATAAATCACAAGTGCGTACCAATATAGGCAAGCAAATGACGGCTAATATGGCGATTGAACTCTGGGAACAAATTCCTAGCCACTTAAAAAATG